ATAGAGCTGTGTCGGTGGCGGGACCCGTGGGCGCTACCCATGGTCCCTTACCTTCGGCACACCACTCAGCGTGATAAGTATCATGCTATTAGAGTCTTCCAACAACCCACAAAGAGCCTACGGCAAAGGGGCACGTGTAGGCTTGATTGGCGTAAAACCTTCCCAGATGTCTCCGGCACTACCCGGGACTACTCTGGGGACCCTTCCGGATAGCTCACGCTAACTCCGTCAGTTTTGGTCCGTTTTACTCCGTTCTTTTTGGAGAAGGTACTTGACCTTCTCACCTTGGCCCCCTTATATATCCTGCGAACAGCTTCCGGTCGGACGGACGGCGACGACGCATACAGTGTTATGGACATGTCTTCAAAGATTCCATTTAACTAGCATAACGGCAACTCTACCCATTTTGGCCCATGACGCCCGGGGCGAACCCTGGGGCCGCAGGTACCTGTTAGGAATAATCCTGTCAAGTTACAGCATGTTCGGAGCACTCTAGCTCCTCCCGTAGTCTTCCGATCAATATACAAGCAAGTGCCCGTCGATCATCATTGCGTAACAAACAATCCTAACATTACACGGAATCTTTCCGAGAACGTTTCCGACGGAAGGTAGGGTAATAGTGTCCCAAAGGTAGGGTAAGTATGTCCATGGTGACACGAAGCCGGTCTCCATGGCAGGGTAACGTGACTTACCTAGACAGGGTAAACTCACCCGCCCTTCCGACCTATCCTTAGGCCGAAACCGATGTGGTCACGTTACTTCCGCTACTTAGGTACACCTATATCTTAAGTACCTTCTGTTCTTCGAGATACCAGGACCATCGGACATCTCTCGGACATGCTCAGGCATGCCCGCCTAGTCTACCATATAGCCTCTTAGCCTTATGTATGGGCGTAGACTTAGGTTACCATAGTTCTATAACGTAGGGTCGTTACACATACAGCCTATCAGAAACTAAAAAAACTCTTGATATGTCAAGAAAGTATATACTAAGTAGGGAATCTTGCTGAATGATTTAACTAATATTATAAAGATAAATACAAAAAGAGAATCCTTGATCCTAATTGTTATAACTGTAATAAAACTGAGTTCTAAATAGATATTAGAAAAGACCACTATATTATAATTCAAGTACTCTCATGATCCTCATATATTGTAAGTTACAGTACTAGAGATCTTATAACTGAGATTGAAATAGCAAGTAGAGATAGTACTATATGGCTACAACTACATATTTCAGATATGATTTATAGTAAAGATTGATATCTTTAAACTAAAAGGGCTAATAATTTTTAAATTAGTATCTTTGGGAGAGACTATTTCAATAATAAATAAGTAATAATTTAACTATATAATTTTAAAACCATTTATATTGTAGAAAATTATATATGAGTGTCATGGCCACCAAATTTTTCTTCATTCTAGTGGCGCATTTCATACCTGGAGGAGCTCCCAGCAGTTCTCAGGATTGGCGTTCTTGAAGGAATAGGTGTGGCAAGACTGACTTGGTTGACCATGCGCGGCAAGATGGATTAAGTACATAGCGACTCCAGGTAGCAAGAAATAAGAACTCTGCTTGGTCGGATAAAGTGGAGGAATCGGCTTATTATTTTGGAACATATATGATGGACGTAGGTTATAGATTGAAGGATTTCGTATGGTATTGTGATGTTTGGTGCTTGGAGGCGCGCCGTTAGATTGAGGGAGATCCTTGACTATATCTATTGGGAGTGCCCCTTGATATTTTACTTTCTTTATGCAATCTGGTAATCTCCTACGTTTGTATATACTTAGGAATTAGGTCCACTCCTTGCTCTCATGTTTATCGTGAAGTAACCTTCAGATTGTTTGCTACTCTGGGTTCCAGACTATGAAGGAGAACGACATTAATACATCGGTACTCTTTATCTTTTCATGCTCATGCTTTGCTAGTCTTAGCCTGACTGCCAGTAGTGAGCCTGCAGTATGGCTCGCTATCTTTGATTAATATACCTTTGGCTTTCCCTTGTGTCCACCCGTACTTGGTAAACTATGTCGACGATAGTTCTCCTGCCTGAACCCTTTGCACCTGTGGCCTTCCGTCGTGTCTGCCCATCCTCGGTTAACTATCTTGACGATAGTTCTCCTGCTTGAATCTTTTACGCCCTTGGCCTTCCTTCCTGTCCGTCCATCCTCTGTTAACTATCTGGACGATAGTTCTCCTGCCTGAATCTTTTGCACCCATAGTCTTCCTTTGTGTCCGCCTGTCCTCTGATAACTATCTTGACAATAGTTCTCCCACCTGAATCCTTTGTGCTTATGGCCTTCTATCATGTCGGCCTGTAATTGGTTAGCTATCTCTATAGTAGTTTCCCTCCTGAACTTGGTAGACTATAGGAGCTTAGGGCCTCTGACCCTTATGAATCCCTTAACAATATTGCATTTGGCAACGAACCTTAGGACCTTCATGTTTACCCCCAACCCTCCTTGCCCCATACCTAGACCTCCGGTGGGACACCGGACAATGATTTTGGCCAGCTTGATGCCAGCACCTTGCTTAGACCTCCGGTGGAATGCTGGATGATTACCTTAACCGGCTTGATGCCGGTAACCCTCCTTGAGCCTGACTCCTCGGCCGCATACCAATTAGACAGACTATCCTTGAACAGCAAGGCCCTTTGACCTAGACCTCCAGTGGGATACTGGACGACTACCTTGCCTCGTGATGCATGCTCCTTAGTTGGACCTTAGTTGGTTATGCTCCTCGCGGGTGGACTCCAGCTTGATGTCGGAAACCCTCCTTGTGTAACGACCCTACGTTATAGAACTATGGTAACCTAAGTCTACACCCAAACATAAGACCAAGAGGTAATATGGTAGACTAGGCGGGCATGCGGGCGCATGTCCAAGGGGTATTCGATAGTCCTGATATTCTAAAGAACAGAAGAGACTTAAGCAATAGGTGTACCTAAGTAGTAGAAGTAAAGTGACCATGTCCAGTATGGCCCAAGGTTAGGACGGAAGGCCGGGTGAGTTTACCCTGCCTAGGAGAGTCATGTCACTGTACCATAGAGACCAGTTTCGTATCACCATAGGCATACTTAGCCCTACCTTAGGGACACTATTACCCTAACTTCCGTCAGAAATGTTGTCGGAGGAATTCTGGGAAATGTTAGGATTGTTTGTTACGCGATGATGATGGACAGGCACTTGTTTGCACTTCGATTGGATGACTACGGAAGGAGCTATAGTGCTCCGAACAAGTTGTAACTTGGTAGAATTAATCCTAACTGGTACCTGCAGCCCCAGAGTTCGCCGCAGGTGTCATGGGCCAAAATGGATAGAGTTGCCGTCTTGCTAGTTGAATGGAGTTTATGAAGACATGTCCATAACACTGTATACATCACTGCCATCCGTCTGACCAGAGGCTGTTCGCAGGATATATACGGGGGGCAAGGTGAGAAGGTCAGGTACCCTCCCCAAAAGAAACAGAGTAAAACGGACCAAAACAGACGGAGTTAGCGTGAGCTATCTGGAAGGGTCCTCAGAGTAGTCCCGGGTAGTACCGGAGACATCTGGGAAGGCTTTACATCAATTAAGCCTACACATGCCCCTTTGCTGTAGGCTCTTTGTGGGTTGTTTGAGGACTCTAATAGCATGATACTTATCATGGTGAGTGGTGTGTCGGGGGTAAGGGACCATGGGTAGCGCCCACGGGTCCCGCTACTGCCGCAGCTCTCCACTGGAGTCCGTAGACCCTCTAAGTTCGCACTCAAGAAAGATAGAACTTAGCCGGGAGACAGCTGATGTCTACGGGTGCTTGCATAGGTCA